GGTATTACTCGGAACACGAATAATTGAACAAATAAATATAGAACGAATGTTATGTCAATTAGGCGTTCCGAGCAGTTCAGAAGGTTTATTTACTTTTATGATTATATTTCTGCCTATCATTAACACCATAAATTACATGATATTATATGATAGTCTTCACAAAATAGCAGTCATTGAACATTTAAATAAGCAATTTTCAAAAGTTCCTGTTGAAAAAGATCAATTTATAGATAGAAAAACTATGTGCTACAAAAGTACATCGTTTTTTTAAACAATATCTACCATTAAGACTACACAAATGGTTTTATATTTTTTGTACTCTGCGATTCTTTTGAATATTTCTTATAAATTACCGTAATACACTAATACTTAAATTTATTATTATTTTTATATAATCATAATAACATAATAATATAATTAAAACTATACTATTTAATTATTTTTAATTTCGTTATCTATTATTTCTATCATTTGATATCTGATGTCATGCCTGTTACTTGGGACAAAACAACTATTTCTAGAATAAATTCCCATTTGATAATGATTATATTGTTTTGGTTATTATTATTATTAAATGGTCAATTATAAAATAAGTATTGATTTATCAGAATCTACATATTAATATCACGTTACATGTTATGAACTTATGACGTTATGTACATAATATGTGTTATATTTTTAGGTTTTATTATTTTTGTAGAAACTCCCCTTCCCATTTCGCAATATTATAAAATATTTTTGAGAATTTTAAACAATAATGAATAATTTCAAAAATGATTTTTAAAAGAGATGTTAAAATTAAATTTTTCCTTAAACACTTAAAAATTCATTGAGATCCGGTAGTTACCTAAAGGTACAGTATTTTCAGTAATTATCGAAAATACCGTATAACCAGTATCAAAATTGAAATACCGCCAGCCATAGGGCCTAGACTAAGCTACAGGTATATTAGTAAGCAAACGTTTAAAACACTCTTTGTCAATATTTTGACAAAACATTTGTATTACATTTATTCATAAGGTTAGAGGTTTAAGATTTTTAAATAAATCGTTAGTAACAGAAAAAGTTAGTAAAAGTGAAAAATTAAGTATTTTAAAACATTTGTGATTTTTGTTTAACTATATATAAATAAAAAAAATGTTCATAAAAATTGTTTGTATTATTATTTTGTAGTTTATTGTATTTTGATAAAAATATGAATTCTTAAAAAAACCTAGCGGATTGTTTGAATATAAATTATTTGAAATTTGAACGAACAAACAATATTACACAATACAAAAAAAAGAATTTCCTAGTACGTGGCAGCACGTTTAATTTCTCAACATGACCGACCGTTTTTTGATAATCATCAAGATTCCTTTCTGTGTATTCTGTGATTTAACATTAAACACTTACGCACATCGCCATATCAACCGCAAGCGAACGACATGATCGAACGTTTACACCGAACGCTGACGTCAGCCATGTTTTTCTACGCATCGATACAGTTAAGCCACGGCCACCTCTTCAACCACCCCATCGCTGTAGATCAATAACCGGCAAAAATGGGTTTCCGACGTTTCCGTCGACAGACTTAAATCAGCGTTCGTGTTTTGCGAAGACCCGCTGACCGATCACTCCAACCTCCATACGCCGCTAACATCGTGAACGCCGACCCAAAATAGAGGCTAGTTCGTTGTTTGTTTCCCGATTGGCGTTGAAGGAGTAACGTGACGACCTGGTCGCACGATACCACTCGTGGTGCCTTATTACCTTAACTCGGACGTAACCATGTTCCAATATTTTTTTAACGGTATAGTTAATTTGTCTATAGTCGGATGAATGAAAAGTGGGCGCTAGCAAACATGACGGCAACGATTTTTCTCTCTCGAAAAACAGGGGTCCTCAATCTGAAACGAGATCGGTATAAAACCTTCGTACCGTGTAAATACGATAATTATTACAGTTCAAAATACGCTTGCTTTTTTTAATCTTTAATCATTTCGTAGAAATTCGCCACCGGGAGCGTTCACATCAGCGGCCACTCAACCGTCATCGTCAGCTGTCGTCCGTGTAAATTATTTTACGTATCTCGTCGTGTTTTTTTTTATTGTACCAAGTACTTAAAATAAATGTTTTTCGCTCATTGGCCGACGCCGCTGCTTGGCAGAGTAGAGTAGCTGGCAGCTGCCGATTGATCCGCGTTTTTTTTTCACGACGTCCGTTGCCATGGCAACACACACGCACGCCCATTTGACCGCGTTATTATTAAAACGAACACTCGTTCTCTTAATGTCACAAATATTTTTCAACCAATATCATATAAAATACGTACTTATATATTATGTTACGGGAAATGTGAAATTGTGAGCTACGAATTTTTTTGTTTCAACAAACTAATATTATTTTTATTTTAAATTAAATTTTATTATTACCTATTTTTGTAGTATTGATTTTTTTTTAATAAAACAATGATTATTAATCATAATATAACGAATATTTTGACGGTATAACAAAATAAATTAACAAATATTATTATTTTATTTTCATAGATGATAATTTCATTACTACCCACTTATCTATTTGCACAAGATTTAGAAACACGACACTTGGAATTGCATAGTCTGTCTGCTTTTTTACATTTGCATTTATTCGTTTTGCTACCCTGAGTACAAGTACACAGATCATGTCCCTGTCCTCCCAAATTAGAAAAGGACTGGGCTGTTTCTCGTAATGAAATAGAATTAGCCAGCAGAATGTAAAGCGGTTTAGCGAATGGCTTCAGTATAGGTACACGACTTGTAGGTGTTCAACTCGATAGGGATGAAAAAACAGATGTAACCAGATCGTCACCGACGATTTTGCAGATGTTTTATCGTCGACTTGCAGGTGTTCAAATCTGTAGGGATAAAACATCTGCAAAATCGTCGGTGACGATCTGGTTACATCTGTTTCTGTTATAATATCCCTACCGAGTTGAACACCTGCAAGTCGTGTACGTGTACCTATTATTGTCTATACTGAAGCCACTTACAAAATCGCTATAAAAATAAACGCTATGTAAAATTCTATGTTTCTTATTTCGAACAGATTATATTTGGAAACGAATCTCATTGATATTTTAACCTCCAAAAAATTTGTAGTGTAATGTAATATGATTACCAAAACGAAATTAATTTCCTCAACCCGGCTTTTAAGGAAATTTGGTTTTAGATTTCTAAACGAAACACGAATATAATTATTTATATTTTTAAAGAATCTATCAATTTTTTCCCAGTGGTATTACCCGACTAACTTAATTATTGATAATATTTTCGTTGTACTTAAAAACCATTTCTTTATAATTTATAATTATTTTTTTCTAATATTTACATTTTAAAATATAAATATTCTTAATTACAAAATCAAGTTCAAATTCAAAAAGAATAAAGTAGGTAGGTACCTACTGTAGTCTGTAGTACATCTTAAGTTGGTTTGCTGCATAATAGCCAATATGTTTTTAAGACTTAAGATTGTTAAGTGTATATTGTCATTGAATAAGTCACTGTAACGTAAACATGTTGGATTTGAGTTTAGTGAAGAATCGTTGCATAACATGAAAAATTCTAAGTTTGTTCTATGCTATACCAATTATATTTTATGATGAAGGTATTTATATTGTTATTGTAGCAATATATTTTACTATTTAATTATCATGATTGTTAATACTTATACAATTATATCATGTATTATTGTAGATTTTTAAGTTATATTGATTTACCATAAACGGTTTGATAGCCGATAGGTCCATGATACAAATGGCCAATATCGTTTTAAATGAATCTAAATGTAATAAAAATTTCATTGTGATTTGTGAATACCTATAAAATATTATGTATGCCATCAGTTTAGTATTCTACCCATGAATAATATTTTAGAATTACAACAAAAATTAAATACATTTTTAACCATAAAATTATTTTGCTAACATTCATGATTTTAATGAATTTAGTAAAAATTACATTAAATGCTTACAAAAAAGTTGTGCTTATGTAATAATTTTTATAAAACAAAGCAAGGATAGAATCTTTTCAGCAATTTACTTATTAGTATATTAAATTATTTTTTTTATCTGTCAGGATTGTAAGTAAATTACCTAGAAAATAGACAATTTGGTTATACCTATTAAATTTGAGTAGTGGTTATTTATGTCATCAACTATATTTAATGATTTTAATGTAAAACTTATTGTATTTTCTCCAACTATCTTTTGATTGACATAAAGTTAATATTTAAGTTTGTTTATTTATTTAATAAAATGTATTATTACTAAAATTAATAATTACCAAACATTGTAATGTAATTTGTGTTTTATTTATACTCATGCTCATTACATTGAGGAATGCAAGTATTGAAGTACTTGAATATTTTTCTAATGTTAAATGGTTGATAAAAGTTACAGATTATTATGAAGTTTTATAATAGGTACATAAAACTCTAGTTAAAAATATAATGCATATTTTATCAAGTTTATGATCTTGCATATTTAAAGATTTTATACAAATCATTAACACAATTTTTTTTTAGAGATTTAGTTCCAAGCAAGAATAACAATAAAAATTAAACATTTGTCAAATTGATTAATTAAGTGTTGACAATATATAACATAATAGCATTTGAAAACGAAAAGAACTAGAGGGTAGTAGTTATGTATTTTATAATTCCTACCTAAATCTAGATCATGGAGTAACATTAGGACTTTAATGTTTAACATTTCACATTTTCAAAACAAAACATCAAGTTTGAAATCTTTAAAAATATGTTATTATGCATGTTAATAATAATGTATAACAATGATAAGATTTAAGTCTGTTTCAGAATCCAAAAAACGATAAGCTAAAATAAAATCAAAAAACAAATTTTCATTTAGTCAATGGCATAATATGCAAAGTCAATTATATTTGTTTACACCATTGAATTTAATTTTGATAGACAAAACATGAATAAATTAAGTTTAAAAAAATGAAATAAAAAATAGCGACTTAAAGGTAATATATACACAAATGCACATTGTATGATACTAATACAAAAAAATTGAACACTGAGGAATGAATGTTTGTCGTTGGAAGGAGAAGAATTTAAGGAAGAAGGCGGCAGAGCAACACACAGTTACAGTACAATCAATAGTAATTACAATACAAACTTTCAGAACAATTAAAAAAAAAAAAAACAACATATAGAGGTAGTTAATGTGTTTTTAAACAAAAAAAAATTGTTACAAAACACAAACAAAAAAATTCAAATTTTTTTAAAGGTTAAAGCATCAGGGAGGAAAACTTATTCAGTTTTTATTTGTTTAGCCGGTGGTGGTTCACTGTTTTGTGAATTGGAATCTTCCGAAAAACCCAACTGGGTGGCAAATTCGGTTGGTTCTTGAGAATGAGAATCGCTGACAGAAAATGCTACAATAATAATGTAAAAAGAAATTAGTTGGTTTATAATTTAACTCTGTAACAATAAGAATTTAGTGATTAATGATTATATTATTAACTATTGTGCATTTCATGAGTTCTTACATGTATTTGAGTCGTCAGCAATAGTGAAGTTTGAATGAGTAGCTTCAATTGGTCTTTTGCCCAGCATGTTTTCTTTATTCGAGTGAGAATGTTCTTTAGACTTTTTCTTCTGAAAAATAAATTATATGAAATTAAAAAATCATGTTAACTGTAGGGCATTGAATGTTTGTTTGATTGACACTTGAATTTTTAATGAAGTTTTCAGCAAAATCCTCTCCCCAGTAAAACTATTTGCTACTCACAAGATATATTAAACCAGGGCTTGCATTTGAAAATAAAATGTTGTTATATGTTATTTACAATTAAAACATTATACTAATTTTGTGTTTATAGTTATTCAGAATTAAAACGTTATTCAATTTTTGAGTTAATCGTTATTCAGAACTAAATTTTTTATTATAATTTATAATTTATTAATTAAATAATTGAAATTAATTTTTTTTTTTATAATAATATACTATATATATAACGTTTTGTGTTATTTATTTATGTTATTGTTTTCCGTAATAATTACGTTTACAAATTTCAATCGTTTTTTTGTCAAATATAACATTATAACGTTTGCAAGCCCTGTATGACACAAATAATTGAAAAATCTGATAGTGAAAATGTAGAACCTATCTGAGTTATTTGTGTTAATGGTTGGACTTAAATATTATAAAACTATACCTACTTTAATTAATTAATTTAATTTATACTAAATAATTTGTTATATGGGAAAATACCAACATAAAATAATACAATACTTGACACAATTAATTTTAAAATATGAAAAGAGCAATTTTAGTAAGACTTACTTGTTCATTGGATATTATGGGTACCCATTTGTAAATTTTCATGGTAGTCTCTCCAATCGTTACCCATTTCTTTTCCCTGAAACAGTCAATTAAAATATGCAAATATTGACTTTAAATCTATCTGGATTTTTATGTTGAAATAGTTTAAATTGAAAATTATATATAAGCTTGGAAATCAGAAATTTTTATTCCTACTTACCCTAATTTTAATTTGGTAACGAGAGTGTAATTTACTTATACACATTTTATTATACTATAATTAATAACACCAAAAATTTAACAACCAATGGTTAGGCGAGGGGACATTGGATGAAATATATTCTTTATTAATTTGGTAATATAAAAGAATACATTTACAATAACATTTATTTAAAAAAATGTTCTTATTTATTTATTTAATCAAGGCAAAATTAGAATTAGAATAGTATATAATTAAAAAATATACTATATAATTTTAACTTAAAAATTACAAGGTTTGAAAATCTTCTTTTCTGAGAAGAACACTTATTATGGGTACTAAGAAATTTAAAACATTGGAAATATATTTTGTTTGTTAAACCTGAAAACACTCATGTTTCATGACATAATAATTTTATAAAAAAATAATACTAAAATTGAATACTCTAGAAATGCAAAATAACAGCAAAGAAGAAAAATTGTCTTCTATTGTACCACGCCTATGATAACCAATATCATGATCAACAATAATAGGTTATATAACTATCTGTTTATCAGAACAATTTAAGTTTTAATAAAACTTTCATCAGTAAAAACGTATTTTGCTTATAATAGAAAATAGAAAAACATAAGGTTATTAAGTTTAATCTCATATGAGTCATATACAAATGAACAAGAATTTTTTAAGTACAAATCATATTTATTGTTCATAACTCATAAGTTAGAGAAATAATTAAATTTTTAGGTAGTTTAACGTTACTATAAATATAAGTAGATACCTACCTAATTAAATAAATCAGATAATTAACCATTTTATATGATGGTAAATGGTAAAAAAAGTTTGAATTGAACTTGTTTAAAATTATAGAATACATTTTTGATTTAACTGTTAAATAATTTCTGCAAAAAAAAAGAAAGACTCAAACAGGAATGTAGTTAATAAGTAAATATAATCTGACAGTTAAATTATATTATTTAAAATACATAATTAGTACAGTATATAAGTACATATGAACATTTAATAATGAGTAATTATAATTAAAGTAGGTAATATCATTAATGGATAGTAAAAATACTAAATTTTCAATAAATATTAAATTTTTCTTTGTCGACTATCTATTACAGTGATAAATCATGACCTCCTAGTAGTCAAGTGTAAATAGCACGTTAAAACCAGAATAGTCAAACATCAGGAGAATGGCTTTTAGAAAAAATACAAAGTATTCTATACAACAACTGAAGCATGTTGAATCAAAGTCGATTATGGATGAACCATTGTGTACAATATAAACTGTGCAAAACTAGTAGCATCAGAGGTGACAATAATATGTTGGACAGATGAGCTACATTCAGTAAACACTGACAGTGGATGACGGTAGAATAACTTTACACATGAGGGAAAAATTTGAACGCTGAACACCCCCTTTTGGTAGATAGCATTTAAAAATAAAGTTAACTTGTTTATACACTAAATATTCTACATATTGTCGTCACTCACCATCGGCGGACCTTGTCCACGACTTGCATGACCCTTTTAATGTCATCTTTGGCTCTGCTTCTAGTCTCTGCTCGCACTGACCGAGACATCATAATACAAATGACCAACGGCGCTGGTGCAGGTAAGGAGGCGTCCTACCCAAAACACCGGACGAGAAGGCTTACAGTGATTGATTGCCGGCAGCGGACGCACTTCCCTGATCGGTTGATAGAACGCTAGGATGAGAAGATGGTCTCCGATAAACGGCGACTCGTTGCAACGCCAGGTACAGTGTCCCGGTGCCGGATAACGCGGACTTAGTAGTCTGTGTATCTGTAAACAACCAGGAAATAATCGATAAAAAAATTAAAAACTGTTATCATGACGTATCAGTCGGCGTGAGTTGGGCGCCATCTGGTCGCGTAAACAAACAGTTGGCGCAATATTGCGTCGTTGCTCGTTAGCAGTTGCCATGGGTATGTTAACATTTTTAACAAGAATTAATTCATAGTTAATCGTAAAAATAACAACATAATCTGGTCTCAGGAACTCACACTAATTTGAAAATGTATTTATTTTTCGAACGGGGAACTTCTCCGCTTCAACCACATCTGAGTATTTGCATCAGCTATTTGGTCAACATCTTCAAACCAAAATAATTTTTTTGGATAGGCGATCAATTTTTATACATAGTAAAATTATTTATTACCATCGAAAAATTGAATACGACTCATTTCGTCACAGAACAGATGAAATATAAATTTAGGTTAATTACAAACATCCAAATTTTGGATATTTATTTTGAAAATGCAACTGAAGAGACAAAAACAGCATAGTGTGAACTATGGTGTACTATTACTATTGGATCACCACTGATCAAAAATAGTAATTAATAAATAAAATAATTTAAGTATCTCTTTGAGAAATATAATGATGGTAGTATGAATAATCCCAATTTTCTAAATGACATTGCCAAATTTAATAAAATATTGTAATCTAAAGACAATAATGACAATTTAAAATATCAACTCTGTATTATTATCATAGATATATTATTGTAACTAAAAACGTAAAAATGATTGTTTTAAATTTTTTAAATTAAATATTTTGACCTAGAATTATGCATTCTAAATTTTAATGTAAATTAAGCTAACTAGAAGTATGCAAAACACAGAAATTTATTCAATGTAGTATCTTGAAACAGATTCTATGTCATTGTTTACCTAATTTGAATAGTTTGAATCAAAGCATTTTAGCTATAAGTATGTAATAAATATAGAAAAATTACTACACAAAGAAACACAAACATTTGTATTAAGTTTTATTAGTTAAAAAACTAAATTATTAATAACTCACTATGTACTTTTAACACATAAATAAAAAATAAAAATAATATATTTTACACGTTATGTTATATTAATAAGATAATAATAAAATAAATCATTCTTTTGAACAATAGAATACATCATCAAAACAATATTTGTGTGTTACTTCCATAAGCAAACTGTCCTAACCAATCCGTTTTTGCAGGTGAAGGAGATAATACCATACTAGGACTGATATCCATGTTTTCTGGAAGTGATGAAGGAATTTTGTCGATACATCTTTCTCTTTTATAACTTTTTATACTATCGACATCTCTATATAAATCTGGTATTATCATATTCTTCGATCTAAAAATAATATTAACAATAACTACTGATTATTTATGTGAAATACTTTAGTATAATTATGTGACAATTTGTAACAAAATATATAATTAAAATAATTTATAGATTAATTGAAACATTGACTGTATAATACCTTATAATAGAATTACAGAATTAGATTAGGTATGATTTATTTCTAATGGAATAATGATCTAACTTGTGAAAAAAATTGAAAACAACTAATGCTTGAAAGTTTTAAGATTAGGCTGTAAAATTGAATTTAAATAACAGATAAGGAGCATTAATATTAAGTAAATGTAACATAAATTTGTGTATAATTTTACCTAAGATTTAATGAATTAAGCAATTTTTAATAAAAATAAAAATATTTTAATTCGTTGTGTATACACCCAACCATAGTTAGGATTATAGTAGACACCCAACCATAGTTGGATTGATAGAAGACACCCGACCATGGTCGTAGACGCACGACTATAATATAATAATTTATAGTTGTTACTTATTAGTAATATTAACTAGCAAGGTAAACATTTAACTGCCGTCTACTATCTTAATAACAAGTAAATTTGAATACCGCATTACTCAAGAATAAATTCCAATTTCTTTAAGTATTTTCGATGTGCTACATTTAATGTGCGACAATTGCTCATAGAAAAATGATGAAAATAATGGTTTTTTTTAAAAATTTCAAACTTATTTTGAAAGTCAGAGTACGATTAGAATAATTGACCAACCTTAAATATTTAATTTTTTTATGTCTTAAAATAAAATTACAAAAAAATAAGTCATTTTCTGAACTACGGAATAAACTGTAAATTGTAATGTAGAATAGCAATAATTTTTTTTTGCAGTTAAGTGTTTACCTTACTAGTTACTACTACAAATAATTATAAACTATTATATTATGGTCGTGTGTCTACATCAGTCTGACCATGGTCAGGTGTCTACTATAATCCAGACTATGGTCAGGTATATACACAAAGTGTTAATTAATACATAAAATAGTATAATTTACTTTTTTTTAGTAAATAAAGGATTATACTCACCGAGGAAGAACATATGGATCAAATGGAAAGTAAGAGTATAACCATTCATCCTTGATTGACTGATCAGTGACTCTAATATGACCATCCATTACCACATAGCAATAAGTTAATTGATACATTTTTGTAATATGTGCAAAACGATCAACTACTTTTGAACAACATAGACGCAATGGACTTAATCTGCATGTCACTATATTGGACAAATTTAAATTTTCCATAAATTTAAGATCTGAAATGAATAATATCATAGTTACTAATTAATCTCTATCACTATATCAGTACACAAATATTGGTATTCATTTTACTCATAGTAGCAGCAATTTTAAATAATCTTATAATCCTGAAAAATGTTAAGTATAAAATTTGAACTAGTAATTAGGAATTTTTGTTTATTTATGGTCATTCCTCAGTGATTATGGATCTCCCTGAATTACGTAGTCTGAGATAAGAAGACTTTCCTGTTAAACTAATAAAGAAGGGCAAGACCATAGAATTTTTCAAATAGAGGTCAAGTGATACCTTAATTTAACGTCACAAAAAGATTGAAAATTTTGATAGATCCAGTTCATGGACAATGGAATTAGATATTAGATAAATTCACATAAAATAAAACCGTTGCATGGAACAGCATGTTGGATTAACCTGTTTTAAGAAATTATATAAACTTGTGTATGTTGGTCCAATACTGCATTGTATAGTATTGTAATGTTTGATTTAAAAATAAACAATGAAACAGAGGGGAAAGTATGCTAATGCAATTTATTCTCCAGTTTGCAATACCATTTGGAAAAACATTAATGAAGGACCTAAACCCGTAAACATTTCTAGAAATAAACTTGTTTGGAAATACTTAAGAATTATAGAATTATGCTTCAGTTTTGGATAAAATTAAAACTTACTTCGTTTATTATCCATTAGATCTTGATGTCTAAAAGAAATTATATAGAATAATGCTTGACACATTGAATAAAATACTGCATGCCATCTTAATAATTCTTCATCTACTACTTTAACAGATTTATCTACATTATTTATATATTTATTACACCATGTGGAGATTTCATAAAGTGTATTCTTCAGCACACTAAAAATTATATACACCAATTTTAGTTATAAATATTATTATTAAAAATATTAATTATAATCACAATTCTTTACTTATTTGTAATAAATGGTGCTCTGCATAGAAAACTAGCCAAATAACCAGCTGCTGCCTGTCGCAAAGTAGATGGAGATGATACATCACAACATTTTTTCAATAACCAATTACTAAAATTTTCTGCTAAAGAAGTTTTAAAACTAAGAAAATAATAAATTACATATTGAATATGACTACTGTTATATGTTGGTAAAATTTCATTTTCAAATATTGATAACAAATCATGATATAACGATTTAGTAGTATCCCATCTGAAAAGAATATAAATGTAAATAATTATTTTTAAATTGAACAATATTAAAACTGTTAAGTGCCTAGTTGAAACAAATTATTTTTTAGTAGATTTAAATATTATACTTACAATAAACTACCATTAGGAGTATGGCAAATAGTTTTCATATAATTGAATATTCTTTTAAGACAAATATCCAATGTATCTGAAAAATGTTCTTCTTCGACTTTCTCAGGACCAACTTTAATGCACGCTCCATCATCTACATCCATTGGAAATATATCTTCAACATCAATATTAATATTTGATTCTAATCTGTCTAGTTCGTCTTTGGATATGTGAACATCAATTTCTACTAATCTGCAAAAATAATAGAGATTACACAAAATTTCATGATTTACAAAAAATTCAATTTTTTATATGCTTAACTTACTTGTTGATAATGAGGCTCAAAATATTTTTTCTTAAGGATGGTTCATACTCAACAATGCAGAGTAAATTGTGTATGTAATGAAGGTGGGAATAAGTACTGTTTGTCTTATATGGAAACTTTTTTTTAAGTGCCGATATTAATAAATCTTTTGCTCTAAAGTAAATATTTAAAATTAATAATGAATACTAAGTATTAAAGATGTGTTTATTTCTTACAATGGAATGGCTTTCAAAAGAGCTTCAAGAGTTACATGGACATTTAAAAATCCTCTTTCTTCTTCTTGAGATGGCATACCATTGACACGATCACAAGCAGCACTGTCCACTATATGAATGATTATATTATATTATATTTTTTTTATATATGAAGATTATATTATCTAAATTTTATTTCAGTTTTGGTATTACCATGAGAAAAACACGCCACAAGTTGTTCTATTGCGAATTGTGTATGATAGCTGTACGCAGTACAAACATTGAGTAAAAATAATCGATATTCTTTAACTACTTCATCACTTCTATTCATCCACTTTAAAATCTAAAAAAAATGTACATGATTGATAGTTTTCTTTAATATATATAATTTAAAAATCTTACCAAAATAACTTTTACAAAAAGTGTAAGATTTTCATTTAGAATATTCACACAATTTCTGGCATCTTTCAATAACTTGATAAGTTCATTATCCTATAAATTATTACATTTTAAACATGGTTTTTATTGGGTTCACTATGAAGTGTTTTTATTGTTTTATTAAATTAATATGATAATACTCTACATCAGGGATGACCAAACAATCGATCGCAAACGATTTAAAATTTGATTGCGTTAGAATTTATTTATAGGCTAGTACATGAAAATTAATCATGGTGGTATGGTAACTAAATAATAAAAATTTTTTATTGTTAAAATCGATCCTATTAAAATCATAAAAATAATTTTAATAGTCATGTTTAAAGTAACAAAAAGTTAAAAACAAACAAAAAATATAGGTTAATGTTGATATTAATATTACAAATTTATTTTATAATAAAATGTATTTTTTATAAAAGGTATTAATTAATCGGCCAATTTTATTATTATTATAGACATTTCACAAATTTTTTTCTGTCCTACCAATGCAATGTTGATTTTTAAAATTTTCTTGCTCCCTCATTATAAAGTTTTCGCATTTACACTTTGAGAACCTCTGCTCTAAGGTGAAGTTTATTTTTAGTAGATAATAGCTAAAAAAATTTTGGCCATCCCTGTTCTACATAATAGATGGAAAAGTATATAAAATATAACTTTTCCATAAATTAAAAAAAAATCAATTTTATATAATATATATACTTCTTTTATATCATATTTTTTTATATTATTTATTCAACTTACATTTATTTCGGTAGCCAAGTCTCTAATATCACAAATTAGATTGTTATACTCTATTAGATCATCTTTATTATTGCTGTCATAGTTGATGAGCAATAATTTCAAGTTATTGAATAAATCAAAACACACTCTTCGACCAGGTACATTATTTAATGTTTGCTTTCCACATTTTTTTAAAATAGAGGGTGAGCTTATAGAATTATTCAAGTTGTAATTGGCACTTTTTGGATGGCAGAACGACGACATCTGGAACTAAAATTAAATAAAGATTAAAATTAGAAATAAAATTTTATTTTATTGCGATTAATAAGTGTCTACATAATTGAAAACACAATAAACTAAATTTTTTTTTGGATATTGTCCCACTAAACACACTTTGGGAAATGCTGGGGTAGACTATAACACATTATAATCATTACATATACACTAGAACCTCGATTATCCGGGATAATGATGGGGAGAGGGACACAGGGATAAATGAAAATCACGGTTAATCAAGACTTTTTATAATAATGAAATTTTAAAAATTTTAATTCAATTGTAATTAGAAATATACATAAGAAGATGTATACATATAATAATGTTATACATACATCTATAATATTGTATACAACAAGTTATTAGGGCTTAATATATGAAGTTATCAGTCTTTGTTTTTTTTTGGTTTGAAATAATTTTTCTTACTTCAGACAGGTTAATAATCAACACTTTTTTTTCTAGAGAAAGAACGTCACATTTTCGTTTAGCACTCATTATTAGAAGATTAATATGTTATACCGCATGTTATGTTCGGCGATAGCAAAGGGCAAAAGCAAACTGAAGGTGATTCAATAAATATAATAATCAATGTACAATATTGCTTATCTTCATATTATTATCATAAAAAATGTCAAAAATGTTCAATTATAACTACATATATATCTACAGTCCATACTTATTTTTAAATTTTTGGAAGAGTGGGCACGGTTAATCAAGGATTTACTGTATGTAAAATGATTTAATCTAAGGGACTCACACTTTGTTTAAGATAGAGCGAAGTCATCCAAGTTGATATCAGTTGGTGGCATTTTTGTAAAATAGAATTATCAGATTGAATGCATAACTTTAAAAACTATAAAAATTAATGTCTAAAACATACTTTGATATTTTTATATGCAGTGGTAATTGTGATTACTTTAAAATACCTTAACTGTTATAGATGAACTGGTTAATGCCATGTATGTCAAAGTAAAGTTTATAAGTTCAATCTTTGGAATCTAATTAGTGAAATGTTAGTGAGGTCAATACTAGAACACTTTTTTAGTAGTTTATATTTTATTACAAACTACAATAAGTGTCAATTATTACACGGTACTTTCATGACTGGTGCTTATTCATTCAAATAAAATTATAGCAGTGTTTTATTAACTAAAACTGGCAGCAATATTCTAATAACAGAGGTTCTAAATAATAAAATAAAAACTGTAAGGTAAATGTTTATACTTACAGATCGTATTAGCATATAATAAATTGTATTTATTTTTTGGTAAGTATCAAATCCAATGGAAATTATGTGCCCAAAACAGTTATTCGTGTAAAATATGAATCTTACCAGAATTCCAAAAGGGAACTCTGGTCACTAGGTTTTGCTCAATCGATAGAAAATTTGAAACGCGCAATAATAAATAGTAACATTAATTTTATGTTTACTGATGACGATTAGCGATCGCCAACTTCCGAATAAGTAAAAATATTAATTTGTAAGTAATTGGTTCATGATTGTATAATATTTATATTATTTATAAGTTATAACTAATAAAATGAAACATGAAACGTATTCCCATGCCTGTAAAAAATTATTTTACGTATTTACAAATCACATTTTTCGGTTATCAGTAATCGAGATTCCAGATACTGTCTTCTCCAATGGGGTTATCGGGAACGGACTAAGATAGATAAAAAAAAATATTAATATTATATTACGCGTCTTTTTAATCGTGACGTCTGAATAAGTCGAAAAATATTCAAATGGTATGGATGATAATTATTTGAATTATATTTTCAGGTAACACTACAGAGTAACGTATTAATGTGAGCATGTGGTAAATCGAATGGACAAGTCTTGTGCAAAACTCATGTGCGCTTTAGCTTTATCTTTTGAATGTTTGATAAACGTTTGAGGTTACAAACTATATTACAGTTACACATTTTGATGCTAACTTCAAATCATAGGTCATCGTGATCCCGGGAAAATTTCAAAATCAATGAAGCTTTGAAACAGAGTAATAAATTAGTAATTTCCAGTTACTCTATGCTTTGAAAGCACTAGTATACATTATTTTTACATTATATAATTTTTTTTTGTTTTATAAATATCAATAAAAATTTTTATGAATTGGTAACAATTCTTAAAAATTTAATGCAAAGGTCCTAGTTAAAAAATAAAGAAAATTTATAGTCTTAATACTTTTTCATTAGCATTTCAATTTAGGATTTTGTCAAAATTTATCAAAACCTTGAAAATTATAAATTATTTTATAGTTGGAAATTCATAAAAAAAAAAATGTTCTGTTTGTATTTAAAATATGAACATTTAATAAAAGAAACTATTTACGTCTTTTTTATGATTTATATTAGTTGTCTTAAAGAAAAGCAATTGAATAAATGAAGAAAAACCAGACATTTTCACATAAATTCAATGTCCGACAAAATTGATTTTATTTTTTAATATAAATCAAAAACTAAGAACCGCTGAATGTAGATACTTATAACTTTCATCAAATGTTTATAATTTATATTATCATTTTATATTTATGATAACATTTTCAAAATATTTCAAATTTTTAACTATTTTTGTCTTTTGAGCTATTAATTTTATATCACGAATCACGATACGTGCGAGTTTTTCACTATTTGGTAAGTTCGCAAAGTATAAGTTATTGAAGTTTACTAACAGGAAATTGGTTATCCCGAAATACTGTATCCAGGTATCAAGACGCTTTCAACTAAACCGGTAATCCTGGGCAAATCAGGATGGATTTTAATCAATGATAATTTTAGTTCTTCAAGTTAACAAACTCAAAAAATATGTTAACTTTTTTAAAAATAAGAAGTTAGTATCGCCAGTTTCTACAGTGCACATGATACTCTTTAAAAGGTATGAAAGTTGTATAAGTACAAAAACGAAAATGTAGTCCTTAAATATATTTAAAAATTCCAAAATATATAAATTGAATAACACTTATTAAAATGGTAGATAGGTAGATGGTAAAAATCTGTTTGATTTTCAATAAAATAACCTAAACAAGTACTAATACACAAATGATTTTTCTGTTTAATTAATCTAATACAGCTTATTTTAATACTTATTTACTCAAATTCTTTAAAATATTGATATTATACTTTAATACATTTTTTACGAATTTTATCTCATAAGTGTATAACTTAAACATAGCTAATATGTATGTTACTTATAACTGTAGCTTAAAAATATCTAGCAAAACCATAGGGAAGCGACGGTAAAGGACAAGTACAGTTGCTCCCTTGTCCACTGTGGTTTTCCAGGTGACCTGCTAAGTGTTCCCACACGTTTCTGAGATCTTACAGCGAGTGTGTAGGCAATGCTTTTGATAGCTTGTCAGGTTTGTAGCCCTTACTTTGATAGCGGGGGGTTGGTCAGCGAGCCATATTCTAACAGTAACAGCAAATTAACGGGTCAGAGATTGGCCCAAGGAAAGTGTTACAACAAGGTATGGTTCTGCATCCATAAGTGGAATTTTCATTTGATGGGTCTTGTAAGGTCCGTGACTAGCACACATCGCTAACATACGGTCTGTAAATAAGTAAGCAAGATAGCAAGAGCAACAAACTCGGTAACTTCTAAGTGTAATTTAAAAATATTTATTTTGTACTATACATTAATTTACACATAATAAAAACAAATCAATTTTATAATTTATTTTATTTTATACCTTCAAAAGTTAATTAAAAAAATTATTATTTTTAAAAGGCAATTAATGGAAACGGAATAAGAATTAAAAAGCTATTTAAGTGAAAATAATTTATTTAAAGACAAAAATAATAACAATCACAGTATAACCATTGTAGTTTATCGTTGTTGATTCACAAGTTGTCCGAGCCAATCAGTTTTTGCTGGTGAACTTGTAGATAACATACTTGGACTAATATCCATGGTATCAATATGCAAAGATGATTCTTTATCTTCTTCATCGTCATTAGTATGTTTATTTATATCATCATCAAAATGTCTATATAGATCAGACATTATAAAATCTTTCGATCTAAAAATGATAACAATAACATAACATTTTACAAGTATAAAAGAGATATGACTACTCATATGTTTCAAATCATAGTGACATTTTTACTATTTCTTAAAGTGCTTTTCATAACAAAAGTCCCTTGATACTGATGTGCCAGGTGGTGTTAGCCAAACCAGGGGTCGGAAAATAAATAAAATGTTCATTTTAGATTAGGATTAGTAGCAGTTTCGTATTTTGTGTATCCATAACAAAAAATTGCCATTTAGTGTGTTAATATCAAGGGACATTTGTTGTGAACATACTATAATAATTTTTGAAAAAAAAATTTCATGAAATTAAAATGATTATTAGAATCCCAAAAACAATAGTATTATAATATTTATTTTAAAATACATCTTTATATACTATCCAGTTAAAAAATAACTAGTTTTGAATAACTTAACCATACATTTGAAAATATTTCGTTTTTCTCATTCAAACATTATTGATCAACTTGACAAACTAAGCAATTAATCATGTTAAATAAAAAATAGTTAAATTATAGATAGTGAAGTTCTATTTAATCACAGTCTATCATCTTATTTAGTTGTATAGTTAAATAAAAATACTTAATAAAGCGCTATAATTTAATAATATTTACACTCACCTTGGAAGAACATACAAATTGAACGGAAAAAAAGAATACAACCATTCATCTTTGATTGATTGGTCTGTAATTCTTATATGCCCATCCATGACCACATAACAATAAGTTAACTGATAAGTTTTAGTAATATGTGCAAAACGATTGACTACTGTCGAACAACATAAACGTAATGGGCTTAATCTACATGTAACTATTTTAGATAGATTTAAATTTTCCATAAATTTTAGATCTGAAACAAGAAAAATATAATTTAATATATAATAAATAGCAGTAATACATATATTAAAAATAAAACTAAATATTAAAGCAATTTAAAAATATTGTGTAATTAATTACTTCGTTTACTATCCATCAGATCGTGATGTCTAAAAGAAATAATGTAGAACAATGATTGACACATTGAATAAAATACTGCATGCCATCTTAACAAATCTTCATTTACTACTTTAACTGATTTATCTACTCTATTTATATAATTATTACACCATGTAGACATTTCAAAAAGAATATTCTTCAAAACACTAAAATAAAAATAAAAAATAATATATATAAATTAATTATAACTATTTCTAGTAAAAAGTTAAAGTAATTAAATTACATTACCTATTTAATACAAATGGTGCTCTACAAAGAAAACTAGCTAAATAACCAGCTGTAGCTTGTCGTATAGTTGATGATGCCGAAACATCACAACATTTTTTCCACAGCCAATTGCTAAAATTTTCTGCTAGTGTTGTTTTAAAACTAATAAAATAGTAAATTATATATTGAATATGACTACTGTTATATGTTGGAAGAATTTCATTTTCAAATACTGACAACAAGTCGTGGTATAATGATTTAGTATCATTCCACCTAAAAAAATATATAAGATACATAGTTAATTAATTTATGAAGAATAGATTTGAATATTATTATAATAATTCAATAATGTAAATTAATAAAATCATACTTACAATAAATCACCATTAGAATCATGACAAGTAGTATTCATATACATGAATAGTCTTCTTAGGCAAACATCTAGTATATGTGAAAAACTTTCTGCTTCCAATTTATCAGGATCTACCTGCATATATTCTCCATCGACATCCATAGGGAAAATATCTTCGATTTCAACATTTACATTTGATCCAAGTCTATCTAATTCTTCTCTGGGTATGTGAACATCAATTTCTACTAGCCTAAACAGGATTATATTATATTTATATGCATTTTTATACATCCATTTTTTTAATTAATGCTATAATAACTTACTTGCTAACAATAAGACTAAGAATTTGTTTTCTTAAAGATTTTTCATACTCAGTTATAAATAATAAATTGTGTATATAATGTAAATGGGATTCCACACTGCTTTTTTTGTAAGGAAATTTTTTTTTGAGAGCTGTCATTAATAAATCCTTTGCTCTAAAGAAAATATATCATATTAAAAATAAAAACATATATAAATAATTTAAATATATTTCTTACAATGGAATGACTTTTAAAAGCGCTTCAAGAGTCATGTGAACATTTTTAAATCCTCTTTCTTCTTCTTCGCTGGGCATACCATTGACACGATCAAAAACAGTACTGTCCACTATAAAAATAATTGAAGAATATAATATTTAATACATATTTTTTTTAAACCTAACGTCTCATACTTACCATGAGAAAAACATGTTACAAGTTGTTCTATTGCAAATTTTGTATGATAGTTGTGCGCAGTACAAACATCAAGAAGAAATCCACGGTATTCACTGACTACTTCATCACTTCTGTTCATCCATTTTAAAATCTAATAAAAACGCAGAATTAATGGTTTAATATAAAATATAATAAACAAATATTCTTACCAATATAACTTTAACAAAAAGTGTAAGATTTTCATTCAAAATATTCACACAATTTCTTGCATCTTTTAATAGTGCAACTAGTTCTGTATCCTGTAAAATATTTAAATGTATATTCTATTAAATGAAAATTATGAATTTCTAACTAGACAATTTTAACATAATTAAATAGATTTAGTTTCATAAGAGATTTGGGTTATTACATTATTATATTTATTATTGTAGATTGTTTTTCACTACTAATACTTTTTTTCTATCACTAACAGTGTTTTGAGTAGTAAGAAATTATCTTTAGTTTTGATTTATGAACAAATATAAATTGAGAACAGTTATTTTTCATTTGCACTATGAGAGGTTAAGCTCTTTAATTAAAATCATCATTTTTGAATGGATTATACAACCCAAATATGTTTATTTTCCTTCAATTCTGGTAGAGCTTAAAATTTCTCTCAATGATTGTGCATACCAGCTTTACCTTTTAATTCTCACCTGTTTATGCACCAAAAAGCCACTCTTAGGTAATTGTTAATGTTGTATAATCTTGACCTGTTGTTTTCTTTACCCCCATTATACTTGACCAAGTTCATATGCATCAGGCAGCTACTATTCATTTGGGACAAAGTCTTGGGCATGGGTGTAATCTGTAATAGATTCATCTTAGATGAATCAGATAAAAATATTACAAGTTAGGTTGTTAACCAGTTTTTGATTACGAAAACTTCCGAACATGATTATGTATGTATGAGATGGTTATATACTCAAAAGAATTGTGTGGGTTCATATTATAGTTTTCTAATATTTTGTTTGTTTCATTATATACTTAAGTTATAATATATAAATTAGACTTCAGATAAAATTAAAATAAAACAATATTATTGATTGTTATTGAATGAAATTTAATCAATTTATACATTAAAAAATTTAATAGATTATTTTAAATGTTTATTAAATAATTTGAATTATAATACCTCTTGATGAAGTCAATTATTATTAGGTTCTGATTGATAATTACTAAAATTTATTTTAACTGTTATTCATCAATTGAAGTACTTAGTATTATCAAAAGCTTATAAAAGAAACTAGAAGCTATAAAGTGAAGTTTTAGAGTGATTGGTACATTAGAATGAAAGACATAGATGTAGTTTATTATTTAATAGTTGATTAAATAAGCTATAAGTACTAATTGAAAATTTAAAATCTTGATTTCACATGGAATAAATATTAAACCGAGTTAAAAGTTTGAAATCAGGTTAATGCAGGTTTTTTTTTTTTTATGTTACAAACTGAACAATAAGTTTAATTGATTTAAAAACAAATAACACGATTAAAGAATGAAGAGGACTCTGAATGGAGGTACTTTGTCATTTAATCAATTTTAAATAAATGCAGATTTGAACTATTAAGAATTTAATTCATATAGGTAGCTTCTATGGATAAATTAATCAAAAAATAAAAAGTTAAGTAAGATAGGATTTCACAGATTTTATTGTTTTAAAAACTTATGTTCAGAACAAAGTTTATTGAGACACTTATTTGTACTGGTTTTGGGCTACTACATAGTAATGTCTCATAATTTAAAATTGTTTTCTTAATTCTTTTACTTACTTGGTTATCAGTTTTATTTTGAATAAATTCTAATTGTAAATATTAGTTAAAATAACAATATTTGATAATGGACATCAGAAGAACATATGATAATGAAAGTAATAATCACTTTCTAAATATAGCCAACCTACTGCCTTAAACTTTATACTACATTAATTTACAGTTTGGAAAATACCATATTATGATTTATGAATTTCAAGAATTACGATTACAAAAGATAATATTAATACTGATGTAATATAATGTATTGTTTATTAGTTTGTACACCATCAATACACATTTATTTGTTGACTCGTTAATGAATGTGGACTCTATCAAAAGTTTTGTTTAATATATTAAATAGTGATTATGTTGTCTAAAAGATTGTAATTCTAATAAGAAATTGCAAAATTACTTCTTATTTATTAAAAAACTTAAACCTACTGATGATTTTAATGTACAGTGTACAACTTGCCATTAACATTTTTATTACTATATAAAATAATTTATAATTTTGCTTTATTCTTAAAATTTAAACCGTAAAGCAGGCCATTATTTAATTAAATCCTTAACTAGTTAGGTTAAAATTAGGTTAGATGTGTTATCATATTACCTAATTTTGACATTATGAATGATTGTATGAATAACAGTTCTTAATAATAATTTATTTATATTTTGTATTTTAAAAACCAAAGTTCTCTTTAAAAGAACTAGATTAAAAAATTGTCAATATTATCAAACTTCAAGGAGTCTGGTTGAAATTTCAAGTTTTATGATTTTCTTAATGTTTGATAGTATATTAATTGTAATAATTAGAATTAATAGAATTACCAAACCATAACTTCTTTTAAATAATATAAAAGAAATACTAACCTTTATTTCAATACCAGCATCTCTGATGTCACATATAAGATTATTGTATTTAAGTTTTTCTTTATCATTGTTTTGATCAAAACTAATAAGCAATGCTTTCAAATTGTCAACAAGGTTGATTTTTACTTTTTGTTTTGGTACATTATTTAATAATGTGTTACGTTTTTTCAATATTGAAGGTGTACTTGTGCTCGGTGGCCTTAAGTTGTGTGTACCACTCTTAGTAGTACGATATGATGACATTATCCTGCAAAACCAAATTATAGAACTTAAAATATAAAAATAATGTTTTGATACAATGTATGAAATATGGCGTAAATTTATCCAGAATGAATAAATATACGAAATAATATTATACAACATATTTAATGCAAATTAAATTTATTAATGGTTTTTGGATATATTCTTAAGTCACTCCACAAAAGAAAATTAAGATAAAATTGGAAGAAGGCATTATATTGACAATATACCGTTTAAAAACGATTGTTGCAATATGTCTCTATTTCTTATACTTGCGTAAAATTACACAAATACCATATCACTTTTTTTTGTAAAAAATAGTTGTGCATTGTTATTTTTCAAAGTGTGGTTTATTTACCTTATTTTATTGTTGAAAAAACTGCTTACCTATACTATATTCTAATAACAAGTACAATTAAATCCACATAAATTTATTAGGAAAACTATATAGCACGTTTAATTACTTTAATTATCTTTTACCAGATTGCTTATATTTAAGTTACAAAATTCCAGTTAAATTTGTTCCATATTAAAAGTCGTTGGCATAAGGCCATGCTATAATAATACTACGTATGTACAAGTACACCGGTCACCGGGTAATCGTAGTCGACAAACCGCATGGCGAGCACCACTAAATTATAACTATACGAAAAAATAATAACATTGTGTTCACCATACCCGTTTGTTCACGTCAAGCTATCTCGTTTCCGGCGAAAACTATCATCCACGATGACATTTGGTGATCGAAATAGATCGGACAATAATTGCAATCCAAAAAATCTAACAATTGATATTTGATAGATAATGCGATTTTCCGAACTGTCGTCGTCGGCCGTCGCGTTGCTGGCAATAACCACAAAACAGAGTGAAGTTAGGGAGGGGCGAATGGTAGACGGGAAGACGTGTCGACTGGTAGAAACGTAGTGGGAGGAAGTAAAATGTTCAAACATGCAATAATTCTCAATTCTGCTACTGATATTACTGATAATATAACCTAACCATCGCGTTCGCCTGCGGTATCACGACCGATAATAAGTTGATTATTACGTCATAAATGTAACAGCCGTTTACAGGCTGGCCACAAGCAGTGGATGAAATTCTCGCAATCGCGCGTATGGTTGGTGCGTTTCATTCGCATTAAATATTTATATAACTCTATCACGCAAACGTTGATAATACATAAATATAAATCTAAAAATCAAAAATTCAAAACACGGTTTTGAGTTTTGTTTTTTAGACATTTAATGTTCAAATCTTGACAACGTTAGATAGGTATTTAAATAATAAATAATGATTTTGTTGTGATACAAGTATATTTTTTGTAGGTATTTGACCATCATTTCCATACGTTCTTTTCTGTCTATTTTTACCCTCGGAAAATGTGTCCTTTTTCTTTGTTCTACCAAAGTTTTAGTCTTGTAGTCAAGTTATAGATAATCTAAGTATTCTAAATTAATATTCCTATCAATGATAGTTGTATAGTTTCGTGTCATCACGCGTAGAAAATTCGGTTTTATAGGTACTCGTACAGTCGTACTATTATTGTTAATATTTCAAATCGAATGATAATATACCTAATTAAAGTCATTTATAAACGCCTTAACGCAAAAACGAAATACCCAACACCTATGTTCTTTCCATCATCTATTCTTGCTTTTATTTTTATGATAAATTTTCGGCTAGTAAATTTGATTTAAATAACAATAAATGTGTTATCAAACATTTCATTCATTCGTTCATTTCGTTTGTTTTATTTTTGTTGACTTTTTTTATTATTACTCATACACGTCATAATATACAATATAAATGAATGTAAATGAATAAATGTAAATGATAAGATACAACATGAAAGTTGACTTAAATGATTTGAGGGATGGAAATCGTTCAGCAATAGCATCTCCAATTTATTTTGATAGGTTTTGAGGAGAAAACTTTTTTTTTATTATTTTTATTTAAATAAGAACGTGTTTTGGTCATTTCTTTAAAAGTCTTCTCGGAGGACTCTTGAAAATGGTGATCGATGACATAATGACATAGGTACGGGAAATAAATGGGTTCTGATTTGAGTATAGAGAATGGAATTCCATTTTTTTAATTGTTGAATTGCTATTTCGTTAACAGTGGGAATTTGTAGATTGTTATGTAGAGCGTTTTTGTTGATTTAAAAATAATTTTGAAAATCCAAATGATTTAGGTAATATTTTAATTATTTAGCATCAAGGATAGTAATAAATATAACATTGTGTGTTGTGGTATTATATTTAATTCTTTCTACTATTCGGTTTAGCAATAGTAATCAGAATAAAAAAATGGTCTCATTTCGTTTTGTGACGTATAAAGTGCTTAATTTAAAATGGAAAAAGGACACAAAACTATTTATTTTTTTTTATAAATGTGGCAGTTTGGTTATTCCGATTACTATTGTTAGCTAAACTATTATAACCTTATTTTCCAGCATCTGATTATTAAAATTTGACTGAGTGAATATAAAAATGTAAAAATAATACGCTTTAAATTATAACATAATGCATGGAACAATAATACTAAAGTATTAAAAACTAAAGCTCTAAAAATAACGATTTAAAAGCAGATTAGATTTTAAAATTGAATTTTCTCAAAATTACGTTTTTTAGTTGATACTCTTGTTACCAAGAGCGTAAATTATTTTACCTTACATATCAAAATATTACGTAGAGCTATCCATAACCTGTTCAAATTTTCTATTTTATCAATTCAATAAAATGCGTATTTTTAGTTTATTAAAACAAACAATCGAATAGTCTTTGAACTGGCCTACTTCACATTGAGTGTATGCCGCACGCGTGTTGGCGCCACCGTTAACGCTACATCGTTATATGTAGGTTTAAACACGACTACTTACTTTTAAACGATTTTCGAGGTATTACTAGGACTCAGCTGAAATCCTTCGTGCAGCTTTTTCTTTTTCAATGATATGGTCATCCTTTATTTTAAACACAACTGTAACAATACCGTGCAATACGAGGTGGGGTGGGTAATATTTTCGTCGTTTACACGACATAACACATACGTATAGTGCAGTAACACGAAAATGCTTTTATTGATTGAACTCAAATGTTAAATATTAAAACGTCTAATTTATCGATGTCCGAAGTACTGCTCAACGCGGTACACGACGCGTATAATAATATAATCATAAAATATACACTAAGTCTAACGACATCATATTGTATAGGCGTGTTTTAGGCGCACGATAAATAAAATTATGTTATCCGCCGTAATGCCGCGACAACGACTGGGCGATTTCGGCGGCGGCGGCAGCCCTAGACTCACGCCTTGCGCTTGTCGTCGTACTTTTCGAGCGCGCTCATCATGAACTCGCTGACCAGGTCGATCTGCGACTCGGACGTGGACTCGCCCTTGTGGTGGTGATGGTGGTGGCCGCCGAACACGAATTTCAGGTACGGCAGCACCGCGCACACCGCCGACACGATGGACACGAGACCGGCCACGGCCACGGTGGCCACGGCCCCGAGCACGGTGACCAGGGCGGCCAGTAGGGCGATCTTGACGAGTTTCTTGAGGTTCAACGACTTGAGTTTGCCGATCACGTAACCGGCCACGGCGCCGATGATCTTCTTCGGCGTGCTGACCGCCTCCAGCAGAGCGGACATCCCCAATTCCAGTAGGCCGCTGCCGCCGTTATCGTCCTCGCCATCGTCGTGCGACGACGACACTTCCGACATGAGCACGATCTTGTCAGGCTTGATGTGTTTCTTGTGTACCACCACGTTGCTGGGCTCTGCGGTCGGTTCCTGTGGCCGGTGTTCGGTCGGTATGCTGACGGCCAGCGATACCGACGCGGCCAACGCCACGATCAAAAACGCGGACGTGCACCTGCGAGGGCATCATGGATTATTTCATTATTCGTCGTTTCGTATTTTTTCTCTCTTTTTCTTTTTTTTTTTTTTTTTTTTTTTTATTTTTTTATCGCGGGGCGCATAAGGGATACAAAACACGAGTATTATGATGTGAAGTGAAAAAAAATATAATATAGTAAAATAGTAGAACTATTATCTTCTAATTATTTTCTTGTATTAATAATACAAGAAATATTAAATATTTTAAAATACATATTATATGATACTTATATATTGCGTCGAATTAAATTATATTTTAATCATAATTGATTTCGTAAATGTATTAAACTAAACGTGTCGGATTAAGCGATGAAATTCTAAGCAGCTGACGTTTCAGCATATTGTTATTGTTGTCTTTTACATTTAATATTTAACATCTTAATTAAATTAAATTAAAATAATGTAACAATGAACAAAATAAATAAATATAATTTCTGAATAAGTATCGAACAACATATAATTTAATAAATTTTATCAATTTAATATTATTTATAAACATCATTAGTTGATTGACATACCTATATTAGATGGATAGTATTGATATATGTGAATAAAAAGAGTTTCAATTTACAACTGTAAGTAGTCGTTTAAATAACTGAATAATATAAAGATCATGAAATATATAATTCGATAAACTAGAGGACTAACTATAAATTATCTAAATAAATTTTTAATATTTTTGTTGGTGGGATTGAAATAGATAGTGACGATAGTGTACGAATTTTTCGAGTAGAATACGTTTCTAGCTCATACGAAAAAAAAATAAACTCATCACACTAGAGTATACTAATGCTCAAATTTGAAATTATTTACATTGTATTATTTTTAAGTAAATAATTATTTAAAAAAAAATAAGGTTATACATTTACGGATATTTTACAATAAGTATAAGTGTTTCAGTTTTTAAAAGTTTTATAATAATAATATTTTTAACACGTTTTTTTTCTTGTGCTAATATTCAAAAATTATAAAAATATATTATAATATGATTAGGGAACAAGATCGATGTTTTAAGCGGCGTTCTAGTGATAAGCAATTTTAGTATTTAACTATTCAAATATATTATTAGAGTCTTAATATGATTTATAATTTAAAATTTATCATAAAAGTTTTCGTTTTTTTTTTTATTTGTAGAAAATCTTAAAAATATTCAATTTAAATTTTATTATAGGTAACGTCGATACATTTTATAGTTATGATGATACTATATATCATGTAATTATTTAAAACAAATAAAACTCACTTGAACATGATGATGGTTCCGTCAATTTTGTCTTATAATCGACTTCGATAGGAATCTCTGACTGTCGTGGAGGCGCGTTCGTGTAGAGAATGTTCGAAGGAATGCCAAATGTAGTGTGCCTTTTCAGCATTAGCTGTAAGCTTATATATAGGCAATGTAGGTAGGGCTTAAAGGTGTCAATTTAAAATCATTATACCCGCACCAGTAATTTTCAAGACCCCCACGAAATTTAGAAACTCGAAAAAGAAATTGTCCTCAACGCAATCGTTTATATCACATTAACGAAGAATTTGCACACGATTAACATAATCGTATTCTGTTACAGCTAGTAATGGTAATTAGGTAATGAAATATTGTCATATACTTTTCCCTATTATTTAATTTGATGCCTATTACAAAAGTCAACAGTTAAAACCAAAATGTATTTCATCGTATTCCAATATTATTAATTTAATAAAAATATTAAAAGATTTGTATGGGATAGGATTATATTGTACTATATATTAACAGTCTTATGTCACTTAATTTTAATTCTTAATAAATAATACCTCACAAAATCTTAAGAACAAGAATATGGAATAATTTTTAGGAAATGTGAATATAATTTTTTTTCGCCATAGTATCGACATAGCATTTTTCAAAAATTTGGCCTGAGTTTGGTTAGTTCTCAAAAAATTGAGTCGTAATATTAATACGAAGTATAAAATATTATATACAGTATATTAATATAAGAACTAATATTACTCTTAAATTATGTTTTATTTTTTTTTTCGTTATTATATTTAATATAATGTTATCCATATAAAATTATACAAAACGTGATTATTTTAAATTATCAATTGATTAAATTTTGTAAATTTTAAAACATTATTACTGTAAAATAAATGTAAGATAAAGTAAGTCGTTATTTCTAAGTTGATTTCAATGATTTATCGTTTATATATGAAAAACGATTCTGAGCAGAGACTGACAGCTTGTATTACAAATAAGGTATATTGAATTTCCTTTTTTTTTTTTGATAAAATTTATTTTACTTATATTTTTAAGGTAGATTAATATGATTTTTGCGAAACTATTGCATTTATTAAATTATTATTAGTACTTAATTAATTGTTATAAGGATATGTATTTATACCATAAAATATCAAATTTTATAATTCAAAATTAGTACTTAATTAA